CAGACCCCTTTCATCCCCCCGCCCCCCGTGTCCAAAAAGTACAAGACAGGCAATTGATTCATGGGTCAGGAGGCAAACCGTGTCCACACGGGGGAGGAGGCTGCAGTGCCAGGGGCCCTTCTTAGGGCTCCAGCCCTGATCTTGCCCCATGGGCAACAGGGGGCAAGCATCATCTTCTGTGAGGGTCTGAGTCACATCGGGGCACCCGCCGCTGCCTCCCGGCCACGGGGGATCACGGCCCTCCTGTGCCTCCCCAGCCAGGCGTCGGGACCGGTCCTTCCACGCACCAGCCTCACGTCTCACTCGTTAGTAGGAGGGGGCCCGGAGACAGCACCGTCCACGTTAGTCACGCCAGACAGACAGCAGAGAGGAAACCAGAGGCCAGAAGAGTGACTTTTGAAAGGAAAAAAGAAGAGCAGCTTCGGTTGCCAAAAAGTAGAAAGGAGGACCTTTTAAAAATAAAACATGGGGCCTTTTTCTCTGCAATGCTCAGCCATTTTACTCGAGACATAAAGGAGTTTGAGCAGCCGTTTGCTCTCGGTTTGGGCGTGAGAACGGGCCGAGGCGGTGCTGGGAGGTGTGTGAGTGGCAGTGCTGGTCAGGGTCCTTCAGACCACGTACTGGGACGGGTCTGCCTTCCCCTGGTCTGGCGTGGCAAAGGGGCTGGCCCAGCCCAGAGAGAAGGGGTGGCCGAAAACGGCTTTCAAGTTCATCCACCTTGTCTTTTTAGCCCATCTTCTCTCTTCCTTTTTCAGTTGCTCTATCCCCTGAAAACGAGAACAACCACACTTCAGTCAAGCGCTTCGCGCTGCGGGCTAGGGCTGCCCGTTGGCCTGCGGCGGGTGGAGTTGGTGCTTCCCGTTTAAAGCCGTGAAGCCGACTACATGACAGACCTCCTTCCCTTGCTCTCCTGTGCTAAAAAAAAAATTTATGGGGGGGGCAGGCGGGTATTTAAAAGTCCCTCCAGGAAGGGCAGGAAATGAGCAAATCAGGAGGTGCCTGGGCCTTGACTCCCAGTCCGTCCATCAGGTGCGGGTTAGGTCCTGGCCGGCTGGGCGGGGTGGCTCCACCTGGTGCTGGGCCAAGTGGGGGTGCCAGGCCCGCAGGCACTGGCACAGGAGCCTCAGAGCTGGGGATCATGAGAGCCAATGATGGCTGCTCACGTGGGATTGGTTCACAGGAATTGTGAAGTGACCATGACCATTTTGTAGACAAAAACAAAGGAACGAGTCAAAGGGCAGCTCTGGCCCGGTCAGACTCGCCAGCCTGGAGGGTCAGGAAGCACAACTGAGAAGGTGAACAGGAGGGACAGACTGGGTCAGGGAGAAGTCACCAGAGGAGGAAGGAGATGGGTTAGTACAGGTCAGAGGGGCCACACGGACAGACCAGTCAGCCTCAGTCACGGCAAAGGTCCTCCCAGGGCTCCTGTGGGGAGAAGTGTGACCCGAGGCCACCTCAGCAGTTGTCACAGAGCCTGCACTATCCCCCCACCAAGTCTCACAGGGAAAATGGGGGCTGTGGGAAAAGTCAGCGCCCCCACCATGGATGGAGCTGGTCTGTGCCGCGGTCTCCGGTGAGGGAGAGCAGGGGTGGGGCCTGAGGCTCTGTTCTCAGCCCAGAGACCTGGAGAAGACAGGTGAAGGGAAGACCCCTTTCCCATGAGCCGTGGGGCCTGCCTGCCTTTCTTCTTTCCTTTCCAACATGATTCCTTGAGGGGCAGAACAGCTAGGGCCAGGGCTCTGAAGGCTCTTCTCAGCTCCCTCGGACTATGGCCTGTGAGGCCTGGCAGCACCCCAAGAGCAGGCGGGGGCCAGAAGTCACCCCGGGTCCCCTGCAGGCCTCCCACAGAGAAGCTGGTTGTGTTTACTGCCTGGATTCACAGCTGGATCCGCCACTGGCTACTATTTTTATAGAAACTCATTTGCAAAGATGTTATTTCTTATAAAAGACAAAGTTGTTGAGAGCCCCCAGCCTTCTATAAACTGTCAAGAGTTCCCACGGTGCAAACGGTGGTGCGTGGGCAGCCAGGCAGCCCCGGAGCACTGACCTCCTCTGCCGCTGGTTTTCCACACCCGAGGGGAGGGGCCTCAGCAGCAGCAGCGAGCATGTGAGCCTCATGTGAGCCTCCAAGGCTGACTACCTGGTGGCCTGCAGCCCCCTACAGTGGCCCTGGATGACTGCTGAGAGCTACCCCCTGAGGGGACCCTGGGAAGCTAGGATGGACTCTTGACCTCATGACTCTGCTGCTCCCTCCTGGGCATCTCACAGGGGACTCCAAAGCCAAAAAGAGAAGAGATGCCCACATCACAGCTGTGGGCTGCATACCTTCAGGCATTTGGACATCTTAGGAAGGTTGGGAGGAGGTGGCAGGGGCACCAGGGGAGTGGGCTCTAGCCCAGCAGCTTCGAGGCTCCCGAGGTGGAAGGCAGGGCCAGGGAGAAGCAATGGACGAGGCCCAGGGCTGGGCCAAGCAGAGGTGACCAGAGGCCAGGAGAGAACCTGCTACCCAAGGCTCAGGCAGGGCTGTCTCCCAACTCTGTCCTCGGGACCTAGTCATGAAGTCACCTCCTCTGGGGAGCTGACTGCCTGTGCCCTCAGGGTGGTCAACAAAGGGTGCTGTAACCCAGTCTCTAGGCCTATGGCCCCCGGATAGGAGGCATCCCAGTGCCCAGAAGAGTGCCCGACAAGGTAGTGCACAGACAGAACCCTCATGGGAGGACCTGTGACAAAGGGAACCCGTGACCAAGGCTGCTGGGCCCACTCCTGGTGTGACCCACCATGCCAACCCCAAGGGGGGGAGGACTCTGTGCACAAAGATCAGCGTCCCCGCTAATGGAGAACGTGCCCTGCACACCGGGGCGGCCTGTAGGCAGCCCTCCCTGCAACACCTGCCCGGGGCCACCCCCACCCCAGGTGCGGAGCGGTGGCAGGCCACCTGCTTACCGTCTCGTCCGTGCAGATGGAGTGCACCTGGGTGCCAAACATCACCGACGTGAAGATGAGGAAGAGCAGCCCCTCGAAGCACAGCAGGATGAGGAGGATCACCGTGGTGGGCGGTGAGAAGTAGCTGCACTCTGCAAACGAGGGTACATGGGTTCAGGGCTGCGCCTGCTGCCCCCGGGCCCCACTCTGCCGCAAGTCCCGCAGGGGCGTCCTCCTGGGTGCCACATGTCTCTGGCCTCCAAGCCTCGGTGAGGACCCTCCTGACCACACCTGGTTGCACAAACACTCCCTAGGGGAGACCTCCTCACTGGCCGGGCCCCCGCCAGGGCCTCCCCTCCCTAACACGGGAGCACCAGGCCTGCTCACTGCCCCTGCCCCCTCCCCCGCCTCACCAGCAGACAACCCTGCTCCAGGCTGAGGCTCGACTTGCAGGCCCTCCTGGCTGTGAGAGTTCAGAAGCTGCTCAGCCTTGGAGAGCCTCTGCCTTTGCCACCTGCAGTGTGAGAGCATCTCCTGCCCTGCAAGCTTGGCAAGAGGTTGGAATAAGTCACTGCTCAGAACACCCTGTGGCCATGCCTGGCTCTTAGTGGGCATTAAGAAAATGGCCTGTCAGCTCCATTCCAAAGACAGACACTCGGCCCCCAGACGTGTCTCAGGTCACATGTGTGAAGGACCTGGCCTGGCACATCCTTCAGCGCCAAGTCACATTTTTTCTTTTATTTTCCGTTTAAATGTATTTTTTTAGCATCTATATTGTCCCTCAGAATTTCTGTAATTTTCTGGTTGGCGGTCCTTCCTAGGTATTTGCATGTAAATGGAATACTTCTAAAGCAGCAAAAACTTTATCTACAATCTTAATGTAAATTGGTGACCATGCAGTTAAAAAGCAACCACCTCGAAAAACAAATTAACAAAACGCCTCCACATCCCAGCCAGGAAGTTAAAAATGAGTTTCTGCAAGACCGGAACAAGTGACCTTTGAATGAAGTGCCTGCCTAAGGACAGAACAAAGGGCCTCCTCTCTGCGCAGGGCCTCGCTCCCTGGCCTCCTTGGGGGGGGGGCCTCGACACTTGGCTGGGGCCTCACCTGGCCTCCTGGCTGGGGCCTGCATTCCCCCAGGGCACACTGAGGTGGACAAGAGGGTCTGTCCAGCTCACTACTTTACCTGTGGAACTGACTTTAAGGGGCTGCTTTTTCTCATAAGGACAGATTCAGGCCTCTGCTGTTCCTTCCCTGGGCAGTCCATAGGCTCGCAGGAGATCTAATAAATTGAGGTTGGCTCCTGGCACCACAATGGAAACAAAGAGTCTGCCCTGCTCGCGTCACCCACCGCCCAGCAGGAGGAAAGCCCCAGCCCACACTCACTTGTCCAGTCTTCTTCGAAGCAATGCAGGAAGTGGAATCCCACCATGATGAGGGCATGCAGGGAGAGGAGCGCGATGTACATCTGAAACAGGAGGCAGTGCACGTCACTTCACGTGAGAACCTCAGGACGGGTGCTCAACATCCCCCTCAGGAACACTGGGGATGAGGGATGACCAGGAGGGGGCCACAGAGGCATCTGGTGATCCCCCCACTGGTCCTGCCCCCAGCTCCCGGTCTGAGGTGAGTGTGTGGACAAGAAGAGAGACAAAGGCCCCATCACCAGGCGTGACCTGGGCCCCAGGTGGGCGTGGCTGCCTAGGGTGCTCCAGGCCCGCTGCTTCTCCTCACCCGGGAAGTCAGGGTGCTGACTGGCAATGACACTCCCAGCCCTCACACTACACACCCCACCTACCTGCAGTCACCACCAAAACGGCCTCCCTCAGATACTCAGATTGGACACTAGGGATAGGGCCCAGAACACGGCCCTCGCTTATAGCTAATCAATTGGAGTCGGTTTTCTAGGTGCTCAGGAGCAGGCCCCTGATGAGACAAGGAGACTGGTAGAAAGGCAGAGGGAGGTCTGCGTGGCCGGCAGTGCTGTTCTGCAGCAGGAGGTCATTGCCAGTATGGGAATGTGGGAACAAAGTGCTCCGCTGGTTGCCGGAGGTGGGCAGAATTTGGGAGGCGACTTACTGTAAACAGGACGAAGTATTTCTGGTTGTTCTCGCCCACGCAGTTGTTTACCCAGGGACAGTGGTGGTCCATCTTCCGAATGCACCGCTTACAGACACTGAAACAGCCCACAAGGCAGACCGTTAGGAGTGTCCTGGCGGTGGCAGGAGGGCCCAGGGGTACCGCAGACCTGCTCCAGCTCCATTCCTCCCAAGTGGCCTCCTGCTGGGTGTGTGCGGCAAGGGGCTGGAAGTAATCAGGACCCCCAGGGTCATAGCCATTCATGAAGGCCTCTAGTTTAACATAAAAATGGGATGGAACTGACGTGGCTGCTCTCCTGACTGATGCTGAGCTGAGAATGTGGTTCAGAGAGGATAGAACAAACTAGACAGGATGAGATGGGACACAGAAAACAGCTGCTCCCAATCCCCAGAAAGATCCAAACCCAGAGGGCGAGCAGAGCTTCTCAGCGGAAGATTCTGGGAGGGCGCAGCTGCTGGAAGCAAAAGCTGGAAGGGTTCAGAGCAGGGTCGAGAGTGCAGAATGTCCCCCTCTAAGAACCTTTTGCTCTAAGATAACATCCACTTTGCCAAAAAAGCACAAAAGTCACTTGAGCTTAAGTGTTGATCAGATGATCTAAAAAATTTGCAAATTATTAACTTGTTTTGGGATCATTTTTGGAAGGTTTCAAGCTTATCTGACAGCAAATAACCTCCCTGCCCCTTTTGGGACAACACAAATAATATGAACAGGTGCAGAAGGCTAACAGCGGCTTGAAAGCAACTACCTCCCAAAGGTCAAGCTGAGAGACCCACTTACCAATAGATGGATTCATCAAAATGGTTCTTCTCAATTCATTAAAATAGGCTCCTTAACACTTGGGGGCATTATTTGTTCAAAACAGTTGGAAATACTATAAATACGAGCTCAGAAGTAATACAATTAAATTTCTTTTTTTGAAAGTCCCTTAGTTCACACCAGCTTTTCTTTCCACTAGTTTCCATAATTAACTTTATCTCAGTTTCT